TATATATATATATATATATATATATATATATATATATATATATATATATATATATATATATATATATATATATATATATATATATATATAGTGGCTTTTATCTTTGCCATTTGTCTTAGTCACATTTGAGAAGAAATTGCTTTCACTTAATTCCAGTTTGACTCGACCAAACACTGAGGGCTTTCTCATGATACTTTCTCACGTTTCTTCCTGAGGTAGATAACACTGAATTAATGACGTATGGCCCTTTAGAACTATATCTACAGGGCCGTACACATGCACCGTGCGTGTGTGGGGCTGGGGGCGGGGCATGTAGCAGGGGCAACTGCTCCCTCCAGGAAAATTTAACTAATTTATCTAATTTTATAATTTTATTATAAATTACAAAGCGGCAAATGGCGCTTATAATTTTGTCAATCAGAATGTTTGATTCTGTGTGGGGCAGTCATATAATTAAGCATCTAAAAGGTGCTTATTTCACTGAGCAGGTATTACCGCACCCTTGTGAAAAAATCCTCCATACGGGCCTGGCTATCTAGTTGGCTTAGTTTTAATTGAGTCAGTGACACTGAACCGATTGAACCGCTAAGGGATAGCTCTTACTAGGCTTACTATAGACCTACATAGGTATATATATGTATGGTTAGAGTAATTTAGAACTAATATAGGGCCGCGTGTATTACAGTATATTCAATATAAATGACGTTTCCTCTTGCATAGTAGCACTGGACAAATAAAGTGTGACCTCGTATATTACTAGAAAGAACAGTTCATGCAATACTGACATATAAACTTTCCTTCATGAAACTAGTTTTTCAGGGCCATTTTAGAAACTAGTAAAACGTCGTGGCTATGTTTAGTAAATGTAAAACTCAAAGCCATGAAGGATTTGAGAATGAAATCAGATGTATTTCTCGATCTTAGGGTATACATAAGCAGTCGTGATGTTTGATCATCAAAAAAGCGAGGCCAGTTATCTCAGCTTTTTTCCAATATTGACTTTTGCCCTAACATATAATGTAGTTTTTACCGCCTGTTTCATTCAAGAGGAATCATCAGGTAAAGAGCCTGCTGTTTCATTCCTTGAGGTAAAAACTAGAAGAAAAGACGGATACCTGATAAACCGATACCGAATAGACGGATACCAGATAAACGGATACTGAATAGACGGACACAGAAAAACGGATGCCGGATAGACGAATACCGGATAAACGGATACCGGGTAGACGGAAAATGGTGTCTGAAATTGTTTAAAAATTAGGTAAAACGTTCTTGGCTACAACCGAAAACATTGCCAGGACTAAACACATTTACAAAACGCCAACTGGAGTTAATTAGTAAAATGCGGATTAACGTGCGATTTATTTATGAAATGAAACCTTCCTTAACATTACAAAGCTAAACATACAAAGATTTATGGTTAAGTACACGCTTGTGCCAAAGTAATACTAATTTTAAAGAAATAAGAACGTTTAATTAATGATTTGATTATTGTTCACGTTGTTCCTCCTTCATATATCCTTGTTTCACTAATTCGTCAGCTTCGTGCGCTTCAATAAAGGTTTCGTCATTCGACAGAAGCGGGTATTCTGTGGAAAAACAAAATATTCATATGACTACATAGACTGTGTATGTATATGCTACACTGGGTATTAAAGACGAAAAAAGTATGTTTATATAGTGTGAAGGAACTTTCTAGACAATCACATAAAAAAATCTTCAAAACGTTCATATCATATTTTGGGGTGTTATATATAGCTCAAATATTTTGCACATACCTTCGTCTCGCAGTTTATCGACCTGACGGCAAGCCCATTGCACAACTACAACAAAATAAAAACGTGACGTGAGTTCGATATACAGCTATTTCAATTAAGGTTGTCCACGAGCAAAGCGGAGAAGTCGAATACGAACGCGAAAGGCTGCTGGGAATCGCTAACAAATTAATACATTTTCAAAGCGATTCCCAGCAGCCTTTCGCGCTCGTATTCGACTTTTCCGCTTTGCTCGTGGACAATCTTAATTGAAATAGCTGTATGTTCGAAGAAGTGAAATCCTCTAGATCTTTCTTTTGTTTTGTTTTTCTACTGCATGGAAATCATAGATATCTTATGTACACTAGATAGTGCATCTAATTATTCTGCAATTTAAAAATTGAAGTCGTGATTGCAGTCTCAAGTCGTTCCCATGAAATGAGAGAAGATTCGTGTATTTCCTATTTCTTAAACAGGGAACTTAAATATTAAGTTAACTCCATTCCAAAGACATTTTTAAAGTATTCAAATGATGAAAGTTATTGTTTTTAAGCATTTATTAGCGAGTAGGAACGACCAACATGGCCGCCATCTATTCAAATGGGGGTAACCGCTGGAATATTCTTGGCTTCAATTTTACTAAAAGAGATGCGCTATCTAGTGTATATAAGATATCTATGATGGAAATTAGTCTATTCGCATGTAATGGTTTTTCTTTGGGGAGGGGTACTCCCATATATGGTATATAGGTGTGTGTCGCCCAGAAAAATATGATGAAAGAGAGTGCGGTAAAATAGGTGTGCTTTAAGTTTTTCTGGTCTGAAGCTGGGTATGATTTGTGCTTTTTCGTCTTAATGAATTTTGGGTCCAGGTATATAAAATAATGTATTAAATATTTACTAAAAGTTTCAATAATCTGCCGGCTCACCCTCCTCAAAAAGAAATTCGAAGAGTCCCTTGGGTTCGGATACATTTCTAACCTCCGTCAACAAGTTGATTTTCTTTTGGGAGGATAACTCAAAAACTATGAGGCGCTATAACAGCCGTATAGTTCGGGTGAAAATTGGAGAAATTATATATAACAATGTTTATCTTGCTTTTCAGAGCTGTCACTTAACTTAACTTAATATGCAGTAGTCTTTGGGTGCCCTCTAGTTTTCTTTGACTCCTTCCGTAAGATCAAGCGGCAGGCGTAACACTTACTTAATTTTTTGGAATTCTTCACCAATCCGCAAACTGTCTTCAAACATGGTTTAAACTGTTTCAGCTTATCCTTAACCTTATCCTTAACACGACGAACAATATGTGGAATACGAATTCGAATTCTAGGACGACGACGACGGCGCCATGGTGCACGTTTGACCATTTCTGGTTCATCTTCGTAATTTGATGGTGTCTCATTTACACTGTCAATTGCGTTCTCTCTGAAATATGAGAAGATATACTAATGACATTTGCAAATTCGCTGGTTTGTTCCAACTCTAGCTAATTTCAAGAAGGTTTTGCAGATAGCTATAGTATTGCAGATAGCTATTGTATATGATATAGTGTGGTGTGGTGTATAGTATGGTATGGTATGGTGTGTGGTGTGGTATGGTATGGTGTATAGTATAGTATGATATGGTATGGTATATGGTATGGTATATGGTATGGTATATGGTATGGTATATGGTATGGTATATGGTATGGTATGGTGTATAGTATAGTATGATATATGATATGGTATATGGTATGGTATATGGTATGGTATGGTATATGGTATGGTATGGTGGGTATTGTGAGGTTTGGTTTGGTATGGTATAGTACGATTTAGTTTGGTTTAATATGGTATCGTCTGGTGACATAGTATATGGTGTACACTTTTCCCAACTGCCCCTGGTTAGGTCTAAAAATGAATACAAATTTACGTTCGAATATTCCATCTACAAAAATGCATATTAGTCCTATCGAACGAGAAGCTCCAAAATGTAGATATTTACCCATGTAGTGTCGAGTGTAAAACAGTAATAGATATTTTTACTTACGATTCATCATCGTCATGACCATCGTTGTCGTCATCATCATTTTCTGGATTCATGAATGAATCTGCCCTGCAAAAATGAAAATACTTTAACTGTTAAAACCATAGATATCTTATACACACCAGATAGTGCATCTAATTATTCTACAATTCAAAAATTGAAGCCGTGATTGCAGACTCAGGATATTCCCATGAAATGAGAAGATTCGTAAGTTTTCTATTTCTTAAACACGGAACTTAAACATTAAGTTAAACCTATTCCAAATACATTTTCAAACTATTCAAATGATTAAAGTTATTGTTGTTTTTTAAGCGTTTATTAGCGAGTGGGAACGACCAATATGGCCGCCATCTATTCAAATGGGGGTAACCGCTGGAATATTAATCTTGGCTTCAATTTTACTAAAAGAGATGCGCTATCTAGTGTATATAAGATGTCTATGGTTAAAACGATCATTTTTAATATTTAATTAAATTACACTGGATATTATACATATACGTGTTTTCATATACTATCTCTAAACTGCAGAGGTTCAGTAAGCAGAGCCATCCTTTATTTGTCCAGTGTTACAACAGGAGGAAACCTAAACTAAACTAACTTTATTTATACTGGGCAATCTATAATTTCTGAACTGTTCTTCCTGGAAGCTCATGCAGTAGGCTTAGTAAGCCTCCCCCAACTCATATCTTGAGTTGTATTAAATTGAAAATTTCTAAATTAAAAATAAGGAAAATTTCTAATAAAAGTAAGGAAATTACAAAGCACAAAAACTTACAATTGCGCATCATTTTCAGTGTCACTATAGGAATCTTCCAAAACTGTTTCTCTGAAATCATCTGCAGTTTCTTCAGTATGTCCAACACCAAGAAACACAGCACAGATTGCGACCAGCAAGGCTAGAATTGTCCAACTCTTCATCGTGATGGCTAACTCGATTCCCTCTGCTTAGCTTCGCTGTTTTCTCGCGCTTTTATGCGTACCGAAGGTGCAAGGTAGCCAAAAAAGAGATAAAAGATTTTCTTGGTTTAGCCTGGATTGCGGAAAAGTGTCAAGATAAAAATAATTACGCCGGCCCATCCTTTCGAATCGGAAATAAAGTTAAGTGTTTGTTTCTGTCTCAAAAAGTCTAGAAAAAGACTTATTCCAAATTTTATCCACTTGAATTTAATTAAATCTCCTTCGGCAAGGTTTGCTAAACTTAGCATTCTTTGATTTCCATGAGAATCATTACATCATTCTCATTCTACAAACAGACTATATGTATGCAAATAAAAACAATCTCTATATGTAGAAAAGAACTGAACACAACCAACTTTAAGCTAGTCGTTTTTTCTCGTTTGTCAGCCATGGGCCATGTATGCTCCCAACATAGTTATATTCTCTTGAGAGTTCGTACAACTTATTTGCTTAAAAGATATAGTTAAGTTCTCAATATAGATGAATGCAGAATCAGACAATTGCAGAAATGGAACCTCGCTCACAGAGATGAAAGCTGATCGATGCGTAAAAAGCACATTTTCATTTTTTTAGGTAATTGATCATAAAATATTGCATTAGTATTTGCCTTTTTACACTCGAATTTCTGCGCTTTTTTCTCGGATATATACTATGAGAAATAGTGTTACATACTTGGTAAAACTTTTCTACCTTTTGTTTTGGCTCAAAATGCACTACGCGTGGTAATACACGGTATTGTTTATAGTCATGAGATTGTGTTTACCCAGCCAATGACGTCAGATAATGTATTTTGTGGCATAAATTAGCATACGCGCTTATTTTCAAAATGGCGGACAACTGTTCAAATTTTCTGAAATTCAATCAAATTTTCTCAGCAACTAAACGCGACAAACCAGCCAAAATATGAAATTAAATATTCCGTAAGTATACCTAATAGATATAAGTAATAAAAATTTTGGTTGCCAATGTCCTTTAAGATTACATAACAAATAACAATGACATATATAACATTATAAATTATGCGGGGAATCATTCACAACAGCTTTTGGCCAATTACTGTCATCCCAAAATAACAAAACGTACGATTTACAAATGTACAGGTAATGTTACGCAAACATATATTCATACACACATATACACATTTAAAAACAACATGCAATAGGTTTGGTTACGGTAACATTTTATGCACCAACAATGCATTTTATGCAATTACATGTTGCACCATAGGAAAAAACATATAATTTGGGCATTTAGTAATATTGATAAATTTTAAAATATTTTTACGTGTCATAAATATATCATGTGCGTGCATGCACAAGGAACATTTGTTGTTGCAGAAGGGAACCTGGCGTGTGATAGCAAGTCACAGCATATACATTTTCTAGACGGAAAACCGCACAGCGTAATCTAACTAATTAACTAGAGGACACTCAAATGCTGCGCCAGCGAATTAAGTCAATTCATTAATTCAGTTAAGTATCAAGCATAAATTATACAATGGGCAAATTCCATCATTCAAATTCACTCTGTGCCTAGCTGTTTATGAATGCTGACTCGAATCCTTAATACCCTGACAAAACAACGAGACGTCCATGAATCCATATCCCGTCTTCGTTCTTCTGCCTTTGGCAAAATTCGTCGGGAGTACTTTGTTCTGTATGAACGAAGGCAGGAGAAAAAGGAACTTGGCATTATCTGCATGCAGGGTTTGATTGCATATCGAAAACATTTTTGCATATCGAAATTTTTTTTTCTTGAAACATCACGCTTATTTTATACAAAGATAATTCTAGATAAGTCTGGATCTAGTCGCTATTGCTAACAATGTTATATTTGCCCTGATGAAGATCGGTGTTTTACGTCACGCCCTGGTGTTATTTTTGACATTCCAATATGCCAACAAGGCAAAAGGGTTTCTCAATTCTCATGCATCGACACTTGCCAATATAGGCCTATGTATACCCACACCTATAATGTTGGCACAATATATCATGCACGCAGACAATGTCGAAGTATTTAATTTTCAAATCTTTTCGATAAAATTATAACATCAATTTATCAAATTGAAAAACAGGTGCATGCATCGTATAAGCAAGTCATGCAATTCCCGACCCTAGTCTCTGTTAAAGTCACAAGTTAAACTTTAAATATATTTTTGGTCTGGATAATATTCGGGTCAATCTAAGGAGAAATGTAATATATCTTTATAGTAAAAGGGCTAATCTTAGTCTATACTTTGCCATGGTCAAAATTACCGGACCGCGATATAGATTATAGGACTTATAGGATATAATGTCATTTTATACATGAATTATAAACTATTTATACCTTTCCTTGTTTTTTGCTGCTAAACATCATCTGAATGATATCATATCCGGCAATTTTTCTACTTATAGAAGCAATGCTTCACTTAAATAAGCCATCAACAAACTTTTTACAACGCAATTTTTCATACAGAGGAGCCGTATTCTGGGATAGTCCATTACACAACTCATTTAGTGCATGCAAATACGAAAACCTCTCTACGGAATCGTTTAAAGTTTGGTTAAATAAACACCATCACAAGCCAAGCATACTCACATGCACTATTATTAATATAATTATATGGATTTACACATGCAGTAGCCTACTATTATACATAGTTGCCAACTCTCACGGATACACCGTGAGCATCACAGATTTACTAAAACCTCACGGTGAGCCGTCTCAGGTTGTTAATATCTCACGGATTCGCATGGATCCTCACGGATTTCGAAAATAATCCAACTGTTTCTTAAATATGTTGGCTTTGTTGCACATTTTAACTATTAAGAGTGACTTCATTTGCGTCAAATTACATTTGCCTTGTGAAAAAATTCACGCTATTAAGCCAAAAATAGATAATCAAAACATCGCTACATGCAACCTCGTACTCGTGGGTATTCAACAATATATGGTTTTGTATGTTATATGTAAACAACGAGTTTGAGTGTTTCATCAGGGGATCCAAACACGAGAAAACTGTATGAAACACGAGCGCGAATCGCGAGTGTTTTATTGTTTTCGAGCGTTTGGTCCCCTGATGAAACACGAGAAACGAGTTGTTTATACAACATCTCGAACGAAAACATTTCATTGGCTTATATATATTATTATAGTATATTGTTGTGTTTTGACTTGAATTTGTAATTAGGATCTCAGTTATTAGATGAAAACCGTTTTTCATCTAACAACAGTGATGGTATATGATTTTTAGCGTGTTTCCTTGCGGTATCCAACCTCAATCATGTGACGAATTAGGGTGAGTTCATTCGCTAATTTGCTCATGAATTATTAATGAGTTCGAGATATCTAAATAAAAGTTACCAAAATTTCTGCGTATAAGGTATAGAAGACTCTGAAAATGCCATTTCCAACGATCTAGAGGCTCCATATTTTCAAAATTTTCCCGATCGGCGCAAACCATGCATGGTGGCGCCTCGTGCCCCCCAAGCAAAATCTCACGGATGTTTTTTTTCCCAAAGTTGGCAACTATGTTATATGATGCAGTATATGGCAAAGTTTTTTTTTTTTAACAATTGTTGTAAATAGGTAAGAATTTTCTCACTTCTGTCCCAAAAAGCCGTCAACAAGTTGTGTTCGCACTGCTTGTCGCGTCCCAAGTTGTCAAGAATATTTGGAACAACTTGTTTAACAGTTGTAACAACCTTGTTGATGTTATCAGACTTGTCGCAAAGTTGTTCCGACAAGTCTGATACAGTCATAAAACAACAATATTGTTACAACCTTCTGTCGACAACCTTGTATAACATTCTTGTTATATCATGACTGTATGAAGCTTGTTAGAACAACCTTGTAACAGTTTGATAATACCATCAAGCTTATTACAAGTTGTTATATAACAGCTTGTTCCAAACTTGTTCCAACAACTATAGAAACTTGTCGACAGCTTGTGAACAGATTTGTGACAACGTATTTGCAGACCTGTATAACAACTTGTGCGTTTTTACATCAGGTGTATAATGTGTATTGTTATGCCTAAAAGATGAACTGGACGAGGGCTGTAATTATTTTAATGTATCGATCGAACTTTCGAGCTATTTCATGCACCAGGAGATTGACCTTGCACTTGGCTCTTTTTTCAATAATCATGCATGTAGCCTATATTGTAGTATTTCCTTTTTGAAGATATTTCGTTATCCTGATACTATGCCAATAAACCATCACAAGTTCCAAAACAAACTCCTTGACCTTGTATTGTTGGCTTGCGCATGGTAAAAATATAATAATTGCTTCGTTTTTGTGGAAAACATAATTGCCATTGGCAAAGCTTCCGATTTATAAGACCGGATCGTCATTACTGCAAATACTATATATCTAGTACTATAATAGTAAAGATTTACGGATTGTTTCTACTTTCTATACTGTACCAGACAATACGGAACAGACTTACTGTATATATGATTGGCTGCGTGTTGTTTTTAACAAACCACTATTTTTTCTTTTAATTCTCATGCACCGAGATTTAACAAAGTCGGCCGCACTACAATTTATAATCACTTCAAACTGCTAAAAGCTCTTAAGATTTCTGGTTTGTCTTCTTTCTATATGTAAACTGTGTTGCTATATAATATCCGTTTAAAACACTCGCAATTTTATATTTTTGCTTGCTGCGGAAACATAATTACACCCAAAGACGAGAGGTTGTATGTTTTTTACAACCCGGTAAATCCAAATATCTATTTCACGTGCTATATACTATGGTTTAAAATGTCGTAATTTTGTCAAGAATAATATGTGGCTTACAGGTATAAACTATTAACTATTATAAACTGGCCGTTGACTCTATTTTTACGACCATATATGGAAATAATGCAGGCTTTAGTGTCCATGATACTGCGATTTCCACTTGAGTATGGAATTACGAAGGTTTGTTCGTAGAGTTTGTTCGTTAACTTTTGTCGTTTGAAAACAATGTTTGTGACGTCGTTCTATAATGTTACCAGGCGAGCACACAATGTTGTCAAGTAAAAACCGTTAAAAACTGTCAATCATTACAAAACGAAATAAAGTTTCTATTTATAGTCGTGAAACTTGGCAGTATTTTACTTGGACAACATTATAGAATGATGTCACAAACATTGTTTTCAAACGACAAAACTTGACGAACAAACTTTCGCAATTCCATACTCAACTGGAAATCGCAGTATAGGCTCTTTGTGTACTAAATGTTTATATACTGTAATCTGTATACGTCAAAACAATTAATGATTGACAAGATCGCAAGGAAAACAGTACCCTGGGTGCACGGCCTCTTGTGATAAAAGTGAGGACACGATGAGGAGGCTCTGGTCACACGAGCATCCAGCCTCACTTTGGCGAGTTCAATATTTGAACTCTGTTTGTGATTGGTCTAAATTTATGTGACTCATCTCATTGGTTAACCGGTCAGCGTCGGTTAACCAATGAAAAGACTCATAAATTTAGGTCAATCACAAACAGAGTTCAAATATTGAACTCACCAAAGTGAGGCTGGATGCTCGTGTGACCAGAGCCTCCTCGTCGTGTCCTCACTTTTATCACAAGAGGCTCTGGCACCCAGGGTAGGAAAACAGTGAGGGGGG